TTTCTTGTCTTGTTTCTGGGCCATCATTAGCTTAATTGTTCTCCGATACTATTAAATGATAATAATTATTTATTATTTTGTAGATGCTCACAGCATTTGGTGTCTGATAGTGTGGATTCTGATACAGCGTGGCTCCTCCAAAACTACCAGAAAATATTTTAATTAAATTTAGAGTGAATCTAGGTCCAATCTCTGTCAGTGTCTTGCCATCATCAACAATCTAGAAAAATAATAAAAAAGTATAAAAACTTTATTTATACACCAAAAAACTACAATAATAGTCTTGCCTGATAGTTTCTGAACCAGATGTGATTGTCAAGGAGACCAAAGTGAAACATGTGATCAATAAATGGTTTGCTCTTTGGATGGTAGTAAGGAGTACTGAATATTTTAATGAATAATTCCTTTAATAGTGAATAGTGCGGCGAACCAGTGAAAGACTTTGTGTATTATAAAGACAGTAAATGCATTAATGATAAGGGAGGGATCTTACTGGATCAAATGAGAGAAGTGGACGTGATCCTAGAAGACAGTTACCAGTTAATTTCAATTCATTCATCGTGTGAACTAAAAAATAATAACATCATTAGATCTACATATATTTACATTAGTACGCTACACTATACAATAGAAAAGTATCACAAGAACTTTTTTCTAGGAGTCATTGCTTTTATTCAAAAAATGGATCATTTAAAAAAATGCTCATAACTCAAAAATTTTTTGTTGGAACTTGGAAGCGGCTCAAACTTTGTGCATAGCATAAGGACATCAATGTCTATCAGAAAATGTAATAAAAATTTGGGGTGATTTTGGAGCCATTTTTTGGAAAAACCATGGGCTATAGCCTTGGGTATTTTTCAAAATTTGGCTTGTTTTTTTAAATGGCCATAACTTGAAAAGTTGAGCTCGGAATTGACTCAAACTTTCTACACATCATAAGGACATCAATATGCATCAAAAAATGTAGTGAAAATTCGGGGTGATTTCAGAGCCATTTTTCGGAAAAAACCATGGGCTATAGCCTTAGGTATTTTTCAAAATTTGGCCCATTTTTTAAAAATGGCCATAACTTGAAAAGTTGAGCTCGGAATCAACTCAAACTTTCTATACAACATAAGGACATCAATATGCATCAAAAAATGTAGTGAAAATTCGGGGTGATTTCAGAGCCATTTTTCGGAAAAAACCATGGGCTATAGCCTTAGGTATTTTTCAAAATTTGGCCCATTTTTTAAAAATGGCCATAACTTGAAAAGTTGAGCTCGGAATCAACTCAAACTTTCTATACAACATAAGGACATACTTTCAGCTTATTCTAATCAAAATTGCACTCTTAATAAACTCTTAAGTTGCTCAAAAATTTGGCCAAAGACCCTGTACTACTGCAACTTTGCAAATAAGTAAATGCTAATACTGTAGAGTGTTACCATTTTCTACTAAAAACTTTGCCGAGGGACCATTTGGTAAATGAGAAATCCTAAACGAGTCAACTTATAATTCAGTTTTATAAAAAAATAACTTACCACATGTAGAGATCTTTTCTTTTTCTCATTTCAAAGAAAATACACTTGGTACAGTTCTTCATTTCACACAACTAATGAGACAAAATAAACAGGAATATAACCAATATTTTAACATATTATTAAATAAAATCAAGTATCCTATTGATATGTGTGCGTGTGAACAAACTTCAACAAGAGATGAAAGGTCATCTTTCCTATCAAGCTTGTTATCTGTGTGTGATAAAAGTGTATAAAATTCATTTGTTTGTTAGTAGTGTTAGTGCTAGCACTGCATTAACACGTTGCATCAAAAGAATGTTAATCACCTGATCTTGAGTGAGGGAGCAACGTCTTAATGTCATTCATTAAGTGACGAGATCTAAAATTAAATAATTATAGAGTATTTAATTAATTAATGAGAATTCAATTAACACCCACACAAAAAGGTGTGGCTAAATGTAACGAGGGTTACTGTACCTGTATGTAACTCCACGAGCACATAAAACTAATACTCGAGTCTTGTTCTTCCATTTCTTGGCCTAAACAAAATTAAATTGACATAGCATGCTTCAAATTCCAAGCACAAATTCTTCAGTACCTTTTTGTCCAGAGGCTCACCATCTTCTATTACTAATAATGGCGGGTCTTTAGTATCGGTCTCCCTCTTTCTCTTCTTCCCTTTCTTGCTTTCTTTA